GCTGGAGAGAACTCAAGGAGCGGAGGCCTGCGATCGGACGCTGAGGTTGTTTTGTTTCTTCTGGATAGGTGAGTAACACCGTGTCTGCGCCGCAACAGCTAAAGTCTGTCTAGTACACTGGACGCGACAAAGCTACCGTTGAAAATCATTTGAAATTTGTGTCAATACGTCATAAATAGAACGCAGCAGCAGTTTTCTGTCGGGGATTTGTCGTGTCGTGCCGCGCCGCATCCAGTGTAGACCAATGTATATATATCTATGGTGTAGACAGCATCACTGATTATAATGAGTTCTATAGTATTTTGTCGCGCCGAGCCACTCGTGTCCGGTGTAGACACAGTGTAACATTGGTTTTGCTTTGTTTCACAGAACTAATCGTTGCCTGGTTTGCGTACGTATGTGTGGGGCGGAGCTATCAAAATAGGGGCGAGACCCTTTTGGGGTAGGGGCGTGTTTGTTTTGGTGATTTCAAATGTCAACATTGGCTACCAGAAATCGCTCACCCCACCTTTAAGTTAAGCTGTTTGCATGTCTATAGCTAACTATGATGTCTCCTGATTTCATTCCGTTGAGCAATTTCATGTGCTTGTGGTACAGAGTTAGCAAGAAAATTCTGTAACTTCTGAAGTAATTTTAATCAAACTTCACTCAAGAGTTTCACAAAGCTGGCTGTTTGTTTCTTTTTGATTTTCTCTGTTAGCAATCTGTAATTTCTTCTTGATTTTCCATGTTTTGCTTTTGTTAAGGCTGATGTGAGTGGGTGTATGTCTGTCAAGACTCTGGCATTTGCCTTAATTGCTGACATGGATGTCTGACATTACCTGCTTTTACAATCAAGCCGTACTTGCATTTCAGTTTCAATTCTGAATTGTTCTACATCGCCCCAGTGAGTCGTTGCTCAATGAGTCACTGCTGTCAGGTGCAAAATGTGCCAACAGGTGTGTTGTGGGTTGTTTCAGGTGACTTCGGAAGTCTGCAGATGCCCTACCTAGACGGCAAGGCACCACTACCCAGTGAGGATGCTGGTCTGCACTGGGCCTGGGTGGCACTGCCCATCCTAATGATGATGCTCACTATCGCCGCCCTGCTGTTGGTCAACCAGCGTAAGCAGTGGATCCCTGTGCCTTGTTACCGCACTCCCAATAAGGTGCCTACCTATATGTCACAGATTACTACATGGATACAATCACATTTTGAATTATTGTACCAAATAGGATGCAGAATTGCGATTTCAAATTACGATTAAACTTTTGTAAGTTTATATATTTTTTTGTCAACTTTATTTTAATTACCAAAAATGGTACTTAAGGCTAGAATACACTACACAACTTTTAAAATCGGAACAGATTTTTAAAGCACTAGGCATCATACTTTTGCTGAATTTTTAAATGGTTACAGAGAAACACTGGCCATCATACACTAAACGAGGATCACACACTACCAGACTTTCAAGTTGGTCCGAACACAACAAATTTGCACGGAAACATGCTCCTCATTAGCAGGAGATGCATGACAAATGAAAAAATGTCTGTGCCCTTGATAAACTATGTGATTTTCTGTATAAATCTGTCACCCAGCATTGACTCCACAAGATTGCAAATCGGAACAAAAATCTAGGCAAAAGTAGTGTAGTGTATTCCAGCATTTTGCTGCATAAGTGTGAGAAAATTCTCTCCATGGTCCAAGACTCACTGTGTTTTTTTTTTTTGTCCTGTATAGTCCACATGTCTCAATAACCAGCTGGTGTATGTGGACTGCCAGAAGGGGACGAAGGTCCAGGTGGACAGCTCCCAACGCATGCTCCGCATTGCAGATCCTGACTCAAGATACAGCGGTTACTACAGCATGCAGAAAAACAACAACCTGCAAGCTGACAACTTCTACCAGACCGCGTGAGACACAGGAGAGAGAGAGAGAGTGAGTGAACGAGAAAGAGAGAGACTGAGCCCGTGTTCAGCTGCCAAACCTTTGCGCACATGGACACCTACTAACAAAACTGTAGAGATGGACAAAGCCACCAAACCAAGTGGTCAGAGAAGAGACCCTGATACCGAATAACAATTATAATATTCACATAAGTCACTCCAAACAAATCGAAAAAATATATCACACGTCGACACCCGAAAGTCTCACCAGGAGATGGAAGCCGCACCTATGTAACCGAACCATTACGGAGTGTGATTGTTAAATTGGAGAGGACTCTTCCAGAATATTTTTGTGAATCAGAGGTATGGTAGGTTGAGCATCATTTGTGTGTAAGCGTGAGATTTCGTGGATGTTCAGGCACAAGTTGAAGGTAGTCGTGAAGTCAAATGAACGTTTTTGGGATTAGGACAACTGGGGTGTTGTTTTTGTTTGTTTGTTTTCAACAATATTTTTCCTGCATTCCTAACTTTTTCTGTTGGAAAAGAGAGAAATTATTTTAGGAGTGATAACTTTTGACACATGTGCTTGTGTGAACACTTAATGCTGGGGTGTTGTTTTTGTTTGTTTGTTTTCAACAATATTTTTCCTGCATTCCTAACTTTTTCTGTTGGAAAAGAGAGAAATTATTTTAGGAGTGATAACTTTTGACACATGTGCTTGTGTGAACACTTAATGCTGAACCAAAGCTCCTCTGCCTACGAAACCAGGCCGGGCGAGAGGCCGAGGAGGGACGTTCACTTCCCTGAGACAGAGGAGACGCTGGACTGTGTACGAAGCACAGCAGAGAGATGGGTAGAGGGAAAATCAGATGAAAGAAAATCTGTTGTTGCAACAGATGCATTTTTGTAGATGCTACTGTAAGATTTCCCCAGTTGCTGTGGGTGAGTTTGGCCGTTTTAGTTTTTTCTCTCTTTTAAAGACAAAAGGAGGAAAACAGAGTAAGCTGCTCTGTGGACATGAGCTCTTCCTGTTAATGGATGTGTGGGGTCTCTATGTTGTATTTCTGCTTACCTGTACGATCATTTTCCCATTTAATCATACAAACATAATTTGCTCCCATAACTAAGGGCAGATTGACACTCCTAGCAAATATATATTTTCCTGAAATGAATCAGAAGATTGTGAAGCGAGAAGCAGGAACATAGTGATAGTGGTTTGGATTTGAGGCTATGCTTTACAAGTGCTGCTTTTTTTGCTTTGATTCTTTAAACCTCATTTTGTAAGGATGAAAGCTAGTAGTGAGGATTGTTTGCGTCTTTAAGAAACATTTACCAAGAAAACAGAATCAAAGGGCCTAATTTCTGAAAAGCGAGCAGAATGGATTTTTGTGTAAATCGCTCCAAAAAACAAGTTTCAAAAATGTTGTAATGCTTGTGTAAATTTCTAACTGGGGGGTAACAGTACACACATTCACACCAAAAATTTTCGGTATGGGTCTTTTGGTTCAGTACACATTTTAAACACTCCATGTGTGTGTGGAACCCATATAGAAATTGTAAGGTATATCGATGTAGTTTCAAACAATATATAGGAGATTTAGGACAATACCGTTTATATCGATATACTTTGATGCTGTGAACACATTTGAAAATTAAACGCAGAACAAAGAGTGAGCTGCTGCGGGAAAAATGTCCTAAACATGAGACATGCTTTATATTAAGTGTTTCAAACTAATTAAGCAGTTTTCCCTCTTTTCAGATGTGTGATTCTTAATGCACTTGAGATGTGTTTTCATCAGCACATGGAATCTTACAATTTTATCTTTATCTGTTAAAGGCAGGGTATGTGATTTTTCAAAAACACTTTAGAAAACTGATTCGGGCCAAATCGCAAAACAAACTTGTAGCCAATCAGCAATAAGGGGCGTGTCTACTCGTGATGTGGAGGAGAGAGCTTTCAGTGCATGGGACGGACATTAGCCGAGCCGAGCGACAGAGAGATAGAGATGGCGGATAAAAAACAAAAGAGGAAAACGTATGCGGAACGATAAGGCAAGAAGTAGGACACGTGTAAATATCGGATCAGCTTTCCAGCGCTGGAGAGAACACAAGGAGCGGAGGCCTGCGATCGGACGCCGAGGTTGCTTTGTTTCAGCAGTTTTCTGTCGGGTATTTGTTGCGCCGCGCCGCTCATGTTCGTAGACACGGTGTAATATTGTTTTTGCTTTGTTTCACAAAACTAATCGTTGCCTGGGTTGCGTACGTATATGTGGGGCGGAGCTATCAAAATAGGGGCAAGACCCTTTTGGGGTAGGGGCGTGTTTGTTTTGGTGATTTCAAATATCAACATTGGCTACCAGAAATCACTTACTCTGCCTGTAACATTAAAAGTCATGTGTTTCCATTTTGAAAGAAGGCTCGCCCTGAAAGCAAATGAGTATCCATCAGACTTAACAGACTTTACTGAAGGAGCAGCATGCACGTCAAACAGACAGAGCGCATTAATTTTGAATAAAAGATTTTGCTAAAATATTTTACATCCAAAAGTGGAAAAATCTCTGATGTAAAACCACTCTTACGTTGTTTCATAGAGAAAAAAAAAATTAATATGTAACGGAGGCCAGCAGTAGGTGCTGTGCAGGTAAACCTCACTCCCCTGATCTCAAGAGGCGCACTAGTGACTGACGCTAGTGGCTGCAGTCTTTAGCCTCCTTGTTAGTGCGGCCGCCTCCCATGCCGGAGACCCAGGTTCGAGTAGGACCCGGGAGAGAGGGGTTACATTGGTGCCGTGACCCGGATGGGAGTGAGTGTAACGGAGGCCAGCGGTAGGTGCTGTGAAGGTAAACCTCACTCCCCTGATCTCAAGAGGTGCACTTGCGACTGACGCTAGTGGCTGCTGTCTTTAGCCTCCTTGTTAGTGCGGCCGCCTCCCATGCCGGAGACCCGGGTTCGAGTACCGCTCAGAACGGGTGCGAGAAGGACCTGGGAGAGAGGGGTTACAAATACACAAAAATACAAATTTGATGGCAGTTTACCTAAGTGCGATATTACAAATGATTTCTAAATACTATTAGTTCTGTGAATAATTTACACAAAAAAGTTGTAAATTGTCGAGATTCTAAATTGCCGGCAGTTTACATACGAATGGTCTTATGATTGCTACGTACTAGTAGTTCTGCGATCTATTTACACAAGTTCTAAGTTACCAAAAATTTACAAATGTTTTTACTAACAATTTACACCAATATTAAATTTTCTGAAAATTACATTGGTAATGGTCTTACAAATTATTACTAGCAGTTCTATGAAGAATTGACACAAAAAGTTGCAAATTGTCTACAGTTTATGAGAGAATGGTTCTACCGGCGATTTACACAGAAATTGTGCCAGTGTTTCATGAATGAGGCCCAAAGAATGATCAAATGACTTTTGGTAGGGGATCTGAGTGAAACGTATACTGTTTTTGGATAAATGTTTCCCGTTTTCTTTATTTGTACTGTTCACGAAACTGCCTCCTTCTCTGGAAGCTTTGAAACATTACTGAGGCACCTTTGTGTTCTGGTTTTCTAGCTGAGAACAAATTTGGCTTCAAAAATCCAAAGCTATTATAGGAAAATTTATGTACATATTATTGCTAAAAGGAAAAGACCTGAAATATTATGTGAGTATATATGTATGTGTGTATGTATATGTGTTCGCATGTACGTACGAGTGCGCACACACAAATGCACATGTACGCACACAAGACTTCTCTTCATCGGTAAGGTTCTTAGTTTATTTCCCTAATGAATGTATTTATGATTGAGCAAAATAAGAGATTTATATAATGGCAAACTGATGATGACAGGCATTCCATTGCCTTTCTTGTTTGGTGGTAATTAAAAAAGCACAGACGATGATGATACAGAAAGAAAGACAAACATCTCATTCTATCTATATTTTTGTGTATTTTTTCCCCTCTTGTTTTCTCGTAGAGTTTTGCTCAGTTGAATGGTTTGGGGCCCATAAGAGTCACTTTGGCTTTGTTTAACAGGCAAAATACAGATGTTTTGGCTTATCCAACTTTTTTTTTTTCTTTTGTAGTGTGAAATACAAGACCCCAAGAAATCACATTTTTACTAATGACAGTGTGGACAGCCAAAACACACAAATGCACATGTACGCACACAAGACTTCTCTTCATCGGTAAGGTTCTTAGTTCATTTCCCTAATGAATGTATTTATGATTGAGCAAAATAAGAGATTTATATAATGGCAAACTGATGATGACAGGCATTCCATTGCCTTTCTTGTTTGGTGGTAATTAAAAAAGCACAGACGATGATGATACAGAAAGAAAGACAAACATCTCATTCTATCTATATTTTTGTGTATTTTTTCCCCTCTTGTTTTCTCGTAGAGTTTTGCTCAGTTGAATGGTTTGGGGCCCATAAGAGTCACTTTGGCTTTGTTTAACAGGCAAAATACAGATGTTTTGGCTTATCCAACTTTTTTTTTTTCTTTTGTAGTGTGAAATACAAGACCCCAAGAAATCAAATTTTTACTAATGACAGTGTGGACAGCCAAATCTAAAGATCAGATTCGTGATTCGGAGAATTGTGATCTTACAGCTGAACGATGAAGCTCTCTTTTCATTGTTTCCTGTCAGGAGTCCCTTCAGGTGTCAGAACTACTGGAATGTTGATGGACATAAGCTGTTGAAGTGAGGGGGCGGGGTGAGGCGAGGGGCGGGGCAGTGGGAGGGGATAATGGGTGGGGCTGGTTATTTGTGATAGTTTGTCTTGGTTGTATCTTATCTATATGTGATATTGTTTGTAGAGCTATACAACTTGGCACTTTTATATATAGAGAGAAGAAACCTATGTGTTTCTTTCTTATTTTGGTTTTGTTTGTTAACTAATTTTTTTAGTAGAACGAGTTGCCCTTCTTTTTTTTTCTTTTTTTTTTCCTAAACCCTTGTTGGACCCTGTGCAGCAGTAATCTGGTAAATCACTTGAAAACACTTCCAAGTCACATTTCATCCCTAAATCAAATATTATATTTTGAAGAAAGAAAATCAAGCCTTTTTTAAAGACAACTCACAATTTGCATTGTGACATTATTTTTTATGACAATTAAGCACATTTTCTCTGGAACATTTTTATTTCTTTATTATTTCTTTATTTTTTATTAAATGTAGAGTTGAGCGGATAAACGGTCCGTGTGGCGCGCTTCAAATGAGTGGTGCTGTTTCATTCCACTTTTGGCGCATTAACATTATATCGAACATTTGTTATCGTTTTATCGAGGAAAATTATATAACGATAATTATCGTTATCATTTTATCGCCCAGCCCTAATGACAATAATAGGAATTTTTTTGTATTACAGTAATGATAGTTGTGATGAAGAATGTGCTTAATTGTCATGAATTAATGACGATGCAAAAATGTATAATGATTTTGTTTTCTTTAAGAAAATGATTTTACTTTTGTTCTTCTTCTTTTGATGTTGGGCTGAAATATGACACAGAAGTTAGTTTTGTGGGATTCACCCAATGATACATTATTTTCAGAACTTTTTAGCTACAAAGTTCAATTCTGTAATAAATAATAGCCATGTG